TTGAATGTCAATTCATCAAAGCTCTGAGAAGAACAAATGAAAAAAGGAACAATTGAGATTCTGATTGAAACTGCATTAAATTTATATATTAAAAAGGGAGGTTTGACATCTTACAGAATTGATTCTTTTAATCTCCAAAGAGTGTAACTCTCTCCATTTATTTGGGGTTTTGTTTTTTGCCCTTCAGTCAAATTTAAATTACATGGAGGCTTAAGCATTGAGTTTTCTACCTTTTCCCTTGTCATGGTTGAGACTGGCCTCTTTCCTTAGGAACAGGTGGAGGCAGCTTTGGAGTTTCATTAAATACCTTAAGATACATTCTCTTTTAAAGTCATACGAACACCCCTGTGAAGTGGGACTGAACATTTTAACCTTATAGGTAAAGAATTTAAAAGGAAGGAAGAAAGGAAAGTAAGAGTTTTAAATATCTGTGTATCATCGTACATTTTAACTTAGTCTAAGGTAGGTCTATTATTCCCATTTTACAAATAAGGAAACTGATTCTGAGAGAAGTTAAAGTGGCGTGGCCAAGACATAAAATAAATGAAGAGATAGGGCTCAAACGCAGGGCTTGGGATTCTGAGTCAGATGTTCTAATGGCCAGTGGTCACTACTTACCCCCTCATGCTCTCTCATCCTGTCTACACTTGTCATTTGTCTCAATACAGTTGACTCAAATCCTATTGGTCTGTTTCCTGGGGCCGACTGCCATTCTCTAGTCTAGTTTCTGGACCCATCGGAATGGCCCAGCACATGCAACCCTTCTCAAGAGCCAATCACAGTGGCTTGGTCAATTCTGTTGCTGTCAAACGTGGCCTAGATGCCTGGCTCTAGAGAGTACCTGGGAGGAGGTCCAGGGAAGGAGGCCAAAAATTCTCTCATACACCTGAGCCTTGCTGTTTTGTTATCTGACTGTTGTGGTTGAGAAACCCTATAGCCAGGTTAGGTTGTCAGGTTCATTACTGCATAACCCAAGGGAGCTACGTTAGGGATGACCATCACAGAGTGACCAGAAGGAGGAGCCTGACCTGGAACTCCCCTTCTACTGGGCATCCTCGTCCAGGAGAGAGCTGAAGGCTTTGCCATCAGTAGGATGTGTTTCTCCTGGATTTGTGTATTGATCTGCCTTTAATAGAAAATTTATCATTGACCCTTTGTTCTTTTTTGCAGAAACAGGGCATTAAGTACTTGCTTTTCTTGGTTTTTCCCAGAATTTTAACCTCTTCCTGATTTTGTGTGTGTGTGTGTGTGTGTGTGTGTGTGTGTGAATATTTGTGCATTCATTGTCTCTCTTTTATCCTGATGGAATGGATGCTGCTGCAGAATCTGGGCTGTAGGAGAGGTCCCCGGAGGCCAACTGCTCGGGCGTCTGCCCCTGGGCAGGTCTTTATTTGAATGGAGCCAAAGGGTTCCTGAATATCCCTGGGTGCATCCAGAGGGGTGTAAGGGAAATTGGGTGGGTGGGGCTCTGGGCTATGAATGGTTCATGTTTGCTTGAAGGAACTGTTTCATGTACTGAGACTTTGAGTATTGTTTCATTAGTTAAAAATGCTTCGCTCTTGAAAAGCGAAAGGTTGAAATGACTGGTCTGTGCTATCTAAGAGGGACTCATAGTCTTTTTTGGAAGAATTTCAGAAATGAAAATTTAAACCCATTGTTCATTCCTAGATTGTTTGGGTGTGACAGTTTGGGAGAGAGGCAGGTCTGAGTAACTGTGAAGACACTGGAAGTAGGATTTATTTCTTTGAAACTCAGCAAGCATTCCTAGAGCTTGTTGAGTTTCACCGCTTGCAGGCCGGTGCCTCTTGGGGTTGAGCATCGTAATGGCCTGTGTGACGCCCCATGGGTAGCACTGCCTTGGATGCTATTGGAATAGGGATGCAGGGCCATCAGACAGAGGAAGTAGATCAGTTCTCCTGCCCTTGGAGTGCATTATGAATTATTTACAGAAATAGTCTTCAACTGTTAAGCTTTGAGGGTGCCCAATACATAGCACTTTCTTTTTCTGCCTGTGGTCAGAAACAATTGGGAGAGATACAGGAATCATGCAAATGGAGGTTCAAATACCACCTTTATGACTAGTAAAGCAGATCCTAGAAAATGTAGTTTATATCTGCGGGCAGGTGAGTTTCTAAAAGTGAATCCTAGAATCAGACTTACCCACCCAACCCAGTTAACACCGGAGAACCACAGGCTTCTCCTCCTACCAGCCATCCCCCCTGCCCTTTGACTTCTCCCCTAACATTTACAGAATGGGGCAGTAGAGCGGAATGCGCACTAATCTCTAAGCAGAGGAGAAGTGGCCAGGCTACACGTGTCCAATTCTTGTCCCCCAAATTGCCAACCCAGGGAAAAGGCCTGGAGTGTTACACTGAAAGATGTCCCTCCATGAGGAAACACAAGTAGGAGAAAAGAGGTTCCTACCCTCAACAAGCCCAAGTGATCAGCTGGCGAGGAACTCTTAAAGTAATACATACTGACTCTATGAATTTTTGGCACAAGAAACATATTTAGATATTGAAGTGGAATGATCAGAGTAGCATGCATTTAGTCAGGGAACATTTCTGGAAGGAAGCAAGGGGCACAGTGTGGTGGAGAGAGGCACATAGCTTTAAACAGATTGACCTGTTGAAATGGAGGAATGTTCACGGGGAGCTTGAACTGTGGTAAAATGAAAAAGGCCTCCCAATATGACAAATACATTAGCTCTTGTGATCTGGGAGTTGTGGGTTAGTGTCATCAGTCCTAGTAGTCATAAAGATTAGATGGCACAGTCCCAAGTAGGACAAGTTCATAGATATCAGGCCCAGCTGGTACAGCACAGGGGATGGCCCATAGGCGGCAGCTGTGAAGGGGATGGTTCTGGGGATTGCAGCAAGACGAGGCTCCTGGTGTTAGACAACATGCGGGGCCTCTCTTCTGATTTATTACTAGTTTGGTAAATTTGGAGTGCTTTCTTGTTTACCCAGCTGAGAGAATATTGCTTAGTTTTCTTTAGAGCAAAAAGAAAAAAGATTTTTTTCCCCTCCTTTTGTCTTACCAGCTAGGATACAACTGAGAGCTGTGGGTACGTGGGCTCGATTGGTGTGATGCTTTCTTTTGAGTTTTCTGTTGCTTAATTGAAAGTGGTTTAAAACCCACTGCAGGTTCTGAGGAGGATACTGGGAGGAATAGTAACACAGACCTTCCAAAAACAGTGGATAACTCAGAGACCATATTCTTTTTGATTTTGGAACACTATGTGTGATTTTTTTTTTTTTTTTTTTTTTTTTTTGGCCACGCCAGTCAGCTTGTGGGATCTTAGTTCCCCCACCAGGGATCAAACCCAGGGCCTTGGCAGTGAAAGTGCAGAGTCCTAACCACTGGACCACCAGGGAATTCCCCTGATTTTTGTAAGGTGGATTTTCCTTTCAAAACACATTTTTCTTAGGGTGACACTATAATGTATTTGTCTTCTAAGAGTACCCAGAAACCAGCAGCTAAAAAGGGAAGGGGAAGTGGATAGAGGTTTAAAATTAACTGTGGATGAATATATAGATAATCAAGATTTAAGGAGAACGTATTCCTATCTGATCCGTTTGCTGCCTGTTTGTACATTGTGGGGTTATTCATACTTACATATGAATAAGTGGTATAGTCAGATATATAATCTTGTAATTGTTAAGTAAAATTGGTTAATCCTAATGTTAATCAGAGATGTCTCTCTGTCCTTGTTGTATAGTATAGAGTTTGATGTGATTGCAGGCAGAGAGACCCAGGTGACCTTTTGGGGATCTATTTCCATCTCCAATATTCACTGAGTTGTTTGCTTGCTATCTCCTAAAATAAAATATGTAAAATGCTGAGCACAGCACCTGGTACATAGGAAGCTTCTCTAATACTTAACAACATGGGGAAATATTTACTGTATTTTAATTTGAAAATGGTTATAAAATAGTATGTAAAGCATTATCCCGGTTATGCAAAATTCAACAAATAGTTATTAAGTTCTTATATGCCAGATGCTGTTTTAGGAACGGGGATACAAGAACAAGATGGGGTGAACATACCATTGCTTTGTGCCCTATTTAATTTTGTATCACAGAAGAGATTGATAGATCTTGCTGTGATGTCCTCAATAGATAGAAAACATCTGTTTCTTTTCCTTCTTCTTTTTTTTTTTTTTGGAAGCCAGAGACTGACTTTGTGCAGATATTTTTCCATAGATACCTGAGTGGGTGACCTCTCTGAGAAGTCAGTCAGATGAGCCCTGCCCACCTTCTCCTTCTGTGGTTTAGGGCAGTGCTTTGGAAGAGCTCATTTATCCCCCAGTTTAGCTCAGGAGCAAGGACTGGAAGTTGAAACATTCATTGAGCTTCCTAAAGTACTAAGTAATCACAGCTGAAACCCACCTGGAAACTCCCTTTCTGGGGTAGCCTTTGCGGGGAGAATCATTGTGGTGGTTCTTTTCCTTCCTCAGTGTGTCCTTATTTGCCATTGTATAGGACCTTTGGGATTTTTATTCTGGGGAGAGAGATTTAGAAACAGTTTCTAGCCCATGGTCCATTGAGCCAAATTGATGGATTCCCGAGCTGAATTTTGGCACTGGGAGCTTTTAGCAATGGAAATTTGAGTTTCATGGTCGGCCGGCCATGGCTGGCAATACCCAAACTGGCCCCTACTCTTTACTTGTTCACTACATGGTCTAAGGTAAGTCTTCAGGTCTCTGTACCTTAGATCAGGAGGGATTTTCAACCCATTTTCTAATCATTTTACAAGGGTTAAGAAATCTGCACTTACAAAATTATTTGAACAGGAGAAAACTCCCCACTGAGTAGTTACTATGAAAGTTTTTATTCCAGCAAGTGGAAAAATTAATGGTGTAAAACCCAGTCCCTGAAGAAATGAAACGATTCTAAAAACGAACTAATATTTGTACCTATTCATTCCCAAGTCTTTACTTCCATAGCCCCTCAAATGAGAATACAAATTACTGACCAAGCTTTTGGTATTTCTTTCAGGGACACCTGTGTGGTTCTTTGTGAAAATTGCTCCAATTCGAAATGAACAGGATAAAGTGGTTTTATTTCTTTGCACTTTCAGTGACATAACAGCTTTCAAACAGCCGATCGAGGATGATTCATGTAAAGGTTTGTAATTCTGATTTGTACAAATAATTTTATGCCTTTTTTATTTTTTTGCCTATAGTGTGACTCTCGTTACAGAGAATTTGAGGTTGCCAAGGCAATCTCTGCACAAGGATCAAGATTTAAACTTTCATTTGTGTTGGGGAAAGCATTGTATCGTTCTGGAATGTTTTGAGGGAAAAGAAAGTGAGAAAAAAAAGCTTTGGTTTAGGAAGGCATTTGAATCAATTTCATACCTTTGTAGATTAACCCTTTCCAAGTAGACAGAAGAAGGTAACAGGGCACCTCTGGTATTGTCAGAATCTCTGCAGGTTTTCACATGACAGACGTCAGTCACCCAAATGTGGCAGTTCATGGTCACATTCATCTTATTTCTATATACGCTTCTTTAGATTTGACTGAGTTCTAGCATTTTAAGAGTGTTAAAGTAGATTTTAGTACATCTCTGCCTCTGTGGTTGGTTAAGTCTGTGACTGGTTAATTCATTGGAAACATGGCATAATGAGGCCAGTAACATTCCTGTATGGGTCATTTAATCAGCTCTGGGACCACAGATTTTAGCACTCGCCTCAGCCATATCACATGCATGTATTGTTTAAATAACACTGGGGACCTAGGAGAGGAGATGGCTCAGGATTTCTAGAACAACTGTACTCCCGAAGAGGTCCAGCTTATCAGGAAGCACAGAAGATGTCATTCCCAGAGGTTTGGGATTAGGAGGTATCACAGCAGTCTTTTCCATCCCCCTGAAGATAACCAAGAGGCCAGGAGCTCTTTCACGTCGCAGTGTTTCCTGGCTCTGCAGCTGATTTTCCGGCTCTACCAGAAGACGCTACTCCTTGCAGTTTTCTGAGACGCAGCAGAGAGATAAAAGTGGAGATCATGGGAGAGTCAAACTGGGGCATGTTATCCTCGACGTGACAAAATTGTGACTGTTAAATGGCAAGAAATAAAAAACATTCTGTGGCTGCTCCCTTGGGGGCTGTGTCCTCTGAGGATATTTAAAATCCTACCACATTGGATGCTAATATTTATAGAGTTCAGAGCACAGTGCTGTGTATACCAGTGCATCCTATTTTTTTTTTTAAACTATCTATAGCTCAGTAAATCAATCACAGCCTGCCTTTGGGGTTCAAGACCAGAGCAGGTGTAAATAAAGTCTCTTAACTTGTCTCACCCTCTGGCAGTCTCCTTTTCTCCTGCAGATTTGTGATTCCCTGATTTCTAGTTTCTGACTTGAAGATTTCTCAGTGCAGTAGCTCTTACACAGCGATAGGCTCACTCATGATGAGTATCATCTTGCTACCATCTAGAAAGGCCGTTTACTTTTTTAACTGAGTAAACTCATAAATAGCATTGTAAAGGTAATCTGATATTTTCACAATTATTTTTGCAAGTTTTCTCTGAAAAAGGTGAACTAGGGGATGTAATTGAGTCAGAATGTTTTCTTGTCATCACCACTGGAACATTTTCAGGTGACGTGAGGGATCGTTTAGTAGGAAAGGCAGAGTTAACCGAGAATGCTCCCTGCATGCCACCTAGGTGTCTGCTTGGCATTCTCATGAAGCCTGAAAGAAGAGATAAATCAGATCGATGCTGCGGGACTTACTGAGGTTTATTTTCCAGAAATAAAATGCTCTACTGCATTTTTCCTGCCTCACTGATGTATTTCCCTTGCTGATAAGGGTTTTGGTGGGTGTGCGCGCACACACATAAACACCCTATTCCCTGTTAGCCAAGGGAACCAGATATTAATTCTTTGTCAGTGAAATAAATTGGAGTAATACATGACTTCATTTCTAAAAAATTAAAATACACATGAACACACACACATACACGTACATACTCTTTAGCCCTCAATATAGGAATGCTGATATTAATATTTCTTCCAGGACATGACTTTATAAGCCTGTTCACTCCAAATGCTGTGGCAGATATGTTTAGACCCTCCCACTTGTCATGTCACTGTGCCCCTGACCCACTTCTATTTGGTGGTCTGTTTAGGACAAGGTCAAATTTTATATTAGTCTGTTTTTGATGGAAGAGCATGATAATTCTTCAGGCCTTTATCGTTATAAGTCTCTAAACTGCAGTTCTGGCTGTAAGAGTCCAATCTAGATGGAAAGTACACTGCCATGTGGCTGGATTATTCTCCTGACTTGACATTTCTACTTGGAAGTTGTTCTCACATTGTGAGATTCCAACAGGTCCAGCCGGGCTTTCAGTACAGTGCCTCAATTAGCATAAAGAGCCTTAAGGGTCTTGCTGACCCAGGCTTGTGTAGAATTCACTTTTGAGAGGGAATGGAAGGGCGGATAATGGAAAACCCCAGAAAATCCCTAGATAATTGCTTTTTGGCATAGCCATACAAGATGTTTTCCCACCATTATGTTAGACTTTTTAAAGTCAACTGTGCTCAGATGTCTTTAAAATGACTTTGTTTTCTCTCATCATGTTGTGCCTAGCTTTGGGGCTTGGGAGTCGGGTGAATGCATCCTAATGGTGACTCAGGAAGCCAGTTGGTGCCTAACATTTTCCCATAAACGACACACAAAGGGGAGAACACATGGGATCATTGGCGACAAACTATTTTAGCAGCTGACACAAAGTAACTCCCCTTTGGCCCTGAGCTCCGAGCACATGTGATGGGCCCTGGGGATGCTCCCTGAACCCCCTCTTTTATTTAGTGTGTCAGTTCTCATGACCCTTTTCATGAATTATCCAGACCCTGACTTCCTCATCTCCTCTTTCCTGTTCATCTTTTGGCTGCTTCCCTTTCTCTGATAAAAAGTGCCCACAGGTGGCATGGAGCAAGGGATCAAGGCAAGCTAGGTTTGCTGTTTGGTAACGGCTCTGTGTGTGTGTGTGTGTGTGTGTTTAAAGGCTGAATGAGAGAGTAGGTGGGAATTCTTGGTTGAAATGAGACTCAGTGAGGCTCCAGGCATTTCATTTCTTCCTTATCTCTTGCTTTTCTGGTACTTTGGATAATTGGGAGTAGGTTGCAGGAGTGTTTTTCTCTGTCCCATCTGCCCTTCAAAGCCAGGAGCCTTGGGCAAGTGCGTAGAGAAGAATTAGAGTGTAGGGCTCAGAGTTTTCTCTTTACATTGTTCACCCAAGGATGAGTCACCCCTCTTCTTTTCTCTCTTACCTCACTGAATCATCTCACATTAAAGGAGCACATTCATTTTCAAAGATCCACTAAAGTAAATTTAGTATTAACTTGTAAATTCAGAATTAAAATTGAGCCAAGAGTGGGCAATAAACGGAATGTAAAACTCCAGAGGAGATTTTTAAAGGCCAAAGATTTAGAAGATTCAGGGCTGAAGGCTCCAGCAAGCTGTTGTAACTGCCAACCCTTCTCCAGGTGTCTTCATGCGGGATATATGTGAGGTGCTCTTGGGGGAGAAAGAGTGTAATGGATACAAGCCACAGGCTCCCTCTCCACCACCAATATTAACATTTTCTCTCTCGGCCCTTAGGATGACTGAAAGGTGATGATTTAGTGACTTCTGCTTGAAAAAGCCATCCTAGGTTTTTGGTTATTTGTACATCAGTAGTGAAAAGATCTGGGGTGGAAGACTTGAGGACACCTAGTCATTGTCCAGATTGACCTGGTAGTCTCCTGTGTCCGTTGTTCTCTGCTGGATGTTGGGTCATGGCACCAGCTCCTCTAAGAGGATCTGTGACTCTTCAGATTAGGACAAGCCCCGCCTCATCGCCTCCTCACCAGGGCGAGGATACTTAAAGGAGTCCTATGCAACTTCTGTTCCAAGTGGCTCAGCATGGTTTCCCAGGGAGGGGCCTGTAGGTCTGTCTTTCCTAGTATCTCTGGACTTACCTGGGAGGAACTGGAATTCCAGGTCATCCCAGAACCATCTCTTTGGGCCTAGGGAGGATACAGGGATGTGTGGGCTAAAGCAGCCTAGTGGGGGACTCACCCCAGTTGACACCAGTAGCCATTGTGGGCTCAAACAAGGGAGATAGTGGTTGTCCTTACTGAGAATGGAGAAAGGACCCAGTAAATGCTTTTTAGCTGCTTGCTAGATTGCAAACTGCATTACTGTCCTTCTGTCCTTTTTTCCCTTTCTTGCTTCCTCTTCACCTCCTGCTCGCTGCCTCTCATTTTTCCTGATCATGTGATGCTTTTGATCTTCCCACGGCACCCCCAGCCCTGCCTCTGCCTGCCTTGTGGTGACGTTTATGACAGAGCTGGAAGAACCCTGAGCTAGGGATTTCTTCATTTGAGCTCAGTTCACTGTTAAACTCCCAAGTGGGATATAATTGGAAGGGTGGGTGCAGAAATACCTCCTAAACCTTAACAGAGTTTGTAAAATGGGCTACTTATATTTTGGGGCTTTATGTCTACTGCAAACCCAGGCAGAAGTAGGACAATAAGAGAACACAATTTGTTCTTCATGCACATTTATTCAGCATACGAACTTACTGGGTGTCTTTGGGGTGTTTAACCTTATGCTAGATGCTGACCTTAAGGAAATGTCTAAGAGCCCCTGCTCGTTACAGTCTGTTTGGAAGATAGGCAGACAGGTGAGCAAATAAGAACAATAGAGCCTAATCAGTGATCTAATAGAAGTCTGCCTAAGGCAAATAGGGGTACACAGGTTGGAGCAGGCAATTCTGCTAGGGTAGGGTGGTACCAGGGAAAGTCTTCCTTGAAGGCAGCTGCCTTATTTTCCTTGTGGAAAATGACCATGTGGCTTCCCTTAAGCAAGATCATCTTGAGCTGGATTCTCATCGGCTTATTCTCACCCAGTTGACCCTTTGGACAATAGGAAATTGATTTTTCCAGGAATGTTTTTCCTGATGGCTCTGCTATGAGGGACATTGTTGGCCCAAATTGTACATGTATATTCCACCAAACCCATTTGCTTCTCTTCTGTGGTTTCTTAAAATTTTTATTAAAGTATAGTTGATTTATAATATTGTGTTAGTTTCAGGTATACAGCATAGTGATTCAGATACATATATTTATATATATATATATTCTTTTCCATTATAGGTTATTACGAGATGTTGAATATAGTTCCCTGTGCTATGCAGTAGGTCCTTGTTGTTTATCTATTTTATGTATAGTAGTGTGTATCTGTTAATCCCATACTCCTAATTTATCCCTCCCCTCCTTTCTCCTTTGGTAACCATAAGTTTGTTTTCCACGTCTGTGAGTCTGTTTCTGTTTTGTAAATAAGTTCATTTGTATTATTTTTTTAGATTTCACATATAAGTGATATCATATACTTGTCTGTTTTAGTTTGACTGACTTTCTTCTGTGTTTTTAATCTCATTTCATGGCTGTCACTCCAGTCACCCAAACCAGGGACCCAGAAGCCACCTGGCTTGCCTCTTCTCTCCCTCTACAGCCATTGATTCTACCTCTGTAGCTGTTCTCAAGTCTCCCCTTGTTACCTGGCTCAGGCCATAGCACTGGTCCAGGCCCTCATGGTGTCTTGCCTGAGATTCTGACTGGTCTTCTATCTGTTAACCCCCCTCCACCCTCTTTATAATCCACTATCCACACTGCCATTTTGTCCTAAGATTCCCCTACTATATTTAAACTCCTTCATTGGATTCCCTTCGGGTTTCAGGTTGAAGTTCAAATTTCTTAACTCGCCATCTAGGTTGTTACCACCTAAGTTCTTCTCGGCCTGGCCCTTGACAACCTCTTTAGCATTACTTCAGGTCACTGCCTGCATCCTCCTCCCCTTTGCGGGCCACGCCCCATTCATCTAGGTATTAAGAAGGTCTTACTCTTCCCTGACATATTACCCTGTTTTATGATTTTTCTGCCTTCATAGGTGCTGTTCCTTCTGGGTGGAATGTCTGTCTTTTCCTTCCTGACTTCAAGTAGCTCCTATTCATCTTTTAAAAGTTTGCTGTAGTGTCACCTCCTGTGGGAAGCCCTCCCTGACTGCCCAGCCTGGATTAGATATACCTTCTCTGGACAGTCTTGGCCATAGCGTCCTCTACTCACCTGTTATAGAATTTAGCTTACTATATCATACTTTTTTATTTACTTATCAGTCTTCCCAACTAGAGTACAAGCTCTTTGAGGCCAGAGTCTGTGCATTTTTTCATTTTAGTATCCCCAGGATTTAGCACTGTGATGGTATTTACATAGTAGTTATGTTTAGAATTAATATGTGAATGAATGATGTTCTTTCATCTGGCTCAGCATGAGTCCTGTTATAAAGTGTCTAGAGTCCAGAAAGGACAACATGGGGGTGGAGCTTGGGAAAGAACTTATTTCCCTCCTTCAGAATAGGCAGAGTCTGCCTATCCTGGTAGAGGTGTGATGGAAGATTTCACACTGCCTGTCCATTTCCCAATCCAACACCCACTCACCTTCCTGTGCCCTTCACTCAGCCACCTGAGAGCCAACTCTTTAAGAGCCACATTCTTGAAAAGAGAATCAGGGCTAGAGTGAGGGGCTAGCCTGGGCCTGGGGAAATGCCCTGAAGTCCAGGCATCTTTCTTTTAATTTTTTGTGCCATGTCATGTGATGGACCAGGGCCCTGAGCCCTGTCAAGCAGGGTCTGGGATATCTGCCCTGCTAGCTCCCTCTTATCATTGGTACCAGAGTGTAGGTTGTGGTGGTGGTGGATGGGTAGGATTGAATGGGGGGGCGTGTTTCAGAGCCCTTGCTGATGTTTGAGTGTACAATTGTTTTCTCGCCAGTTGAAAAATATACTTTCTGCTCCTCTTGAAAAACGTTGCAGAATTCAATTCCAGCTTTGTTTTCAGCTGTAGGAGAGCCTGACTCTGAAAGAGACTTAAAAAAATTCTAGTCCACGGTTCACACAAGCAAATTCCAGTGAACACTTTCATGAGTGGCCCATTTGGGGAAGATGTCAAATACCCCTGGAGAGTCTGGGCTGTCCCCTCCTGTCAACATCAGTGGGAGTCCCCACAGCCCGACCACCATGAGCCTCTTTTCAAGGTGACCCGTATCTCTGCTTAATGGCATCAGGATGCATGAAAATGCCACTATTTTTATTAAAGCCCAGAACTTCTGGAATGAGATAAAAAGGAACTTGATTTGCTATTCTTGTCATGTTGACAAAATTTATTCAGATCTTGATTCTTAAAGGTTGTGCAAAAAAAGGGCCATCATTCTGCTTGACCTCATTGTCCTGTGGATTCTGAGTCCATCTTATAAAGGTGCTCCAGGGTAAAATTTGGTAAATGAGATTTCTGCTGCAAGGCACTGGCTACTTCTAAACTCTAAAGGACAAAAAATCAAGTTGCCTAGTCTTGCTGTTAGCTGTCATGTAAAAATAGTTGCATGCTGTTTATTTGCTGTACCCCACATCCAGGTCTTTGGAGCTCCCTCACCCCAAGCTTGGTTTTGAGAACCCCTACAGACTTTCAGGGGTCTTATGAGGCAATTGGCACAGTCATAACCTTGATGCAGATGGCTTGTTGGATATTGGAATGGACAGTTGTCTTTGGGGACCTTTAAACGATTCCTCATACATATTAAAATCTTAGTAAAGATACTGGTACATCTTAGATTTTGGAGTATAGAGTGGTCTGGATTAGAAAAAGACAAGTGTGTTACTTTCCTTGGAGGAACTAGTCCAGAGGGCCAAGGAGGCCTCAAGACAGTCTTTGTTTTAGCCCAGTAAACTTAGCCACTTTGTTTTATCAGGAAAATGCATCCTGCATTTAAGGCATGTAGATAGAGTATTTTAATTTCCACTTTACAGATGAGATAATTGAGGCCCAGATAATTTAAACAGTTTGTTGGTGACCTCAAGCAGGCCGGAGGCAGAGATGGGATTTGTATCCAGATTTCTTTACTCTAAGTTCAGTACTCGGCTCTTTGCGTTTCTAGTTTTAAGGGGACCTACTTGCCATCAGCTGTCCTTCCCCCATCCTAGAGCAGACTAAAATCAACTAGTATTGTTTCCCCACCTACCCACGGATTAAATTCATTTCTTATTCCCCTGGCTTTGGAGAAGGTAGTACATGGAACGGCCATTTGACTAGCTTGTTTAGTCATTTAAAACCCAGAATCAGCTTAGTCTTTGCTAGGATCAGACGACAGGGGCCTTGGGAACAGCCTGAGCCATAAAGTCAGAGAAACATCTTGATTGCCTGGTGTTGTCTGGCAGAAAAGCCTTGGGCCAGAGTGGGGAGATCTGGGCTCTAGACTCTTAGCTACCTAGGCACTCTGTGCCTCGATTTCCCTAGTTGTAAAACAGTGCTAAGACCTGCTGTACCTGCTTCACCAAGCTATGATTAGGGTCAAGTGAAAGTACAAGGGAAAAGTGCATCACTGCACAGATTTGAGCAAGTCTAGGTGCTTTTTTTTTTGTTTTTGCAGTACGCGGGCCTCTCACTGTTGTGGCCTCTCTCGTTGCGGAGCACAGGCTCCGGACGCGCAGGCTCAGCGGCCATGGCTCACGGGCCTAGCCGCTCCGCGGCATGTGGGATCTTCCTGGACCGGGGCACGAACCTGTGTACGCTGCATCAGCAGGCGGACTCTCAACCACTGCGCCACCAGGGAAGCCCTAGGTACTTTTTTGATCAGCGAATCTTGATCACGAGGATGGCCGAGTGACTTGTGGATGTGCAGGAGGACATGGAGGGTGGGCGTCTGCTTCTGACAGGGTAACTCGTGGTATGAATGTCCGAGCACCTTCAGGACCTGGTTGAACCTATCTCTCCTGTCTTCCACATGCTCCAGGCTGGGGGAAGTTTGCTCGGCTGACCAGAGCACTGACAAGCAGCAGGGGTGTCCTGCAGCAGCTGGCTCCCAGCGTGCAAAAAGGCGAGAACGTCCACAAGCACTCCCGCCTGGCCGAGGTAAGGGCAAGGGTTTAGCTCAGCTTAACCCTCACTCATTTCCATGGGGTCCCTGGGCTGAGAAAATGGTCCACAGTGAGTGTGATGGCTTGGAAGGGACCTTCAGGACCCCAGACTCTTGTCTTGGCTGGGCTATACACCACCATGTGTGACTTTGGGTAAGTGATCTAACTCCTGTTAGTTGTGTACTCTCACATATGTAAAGGGAACTGCAAACAACTCCATTCAAAATTGATTGAGATTACAGTTGTCAGCTGACTCTTTTGAAGGAGCAGGGAAGGAGCTAGAAGTGCTATATACATGAAGGGGGTTTTACTTATAAATTATAAACAATTTTGTTATTTGAGCAATACATACTATTATAGGAAAAGAAGATACAGGAAGCAAAGAGGAAGAAAATAAAAATCACCTAGAATCCCACTAACCAGATAACATTGTTATAATTTTTGTGGACATACCTTAACTCTTTTTTGCATTTAAGAAATATTCTATTCCTAAAGCCTAAGAAATACATTTTTTCACATTAATGAAGTTGAGATATATCTAAGAATCAATGTGTATGTTTAAGGTGGGATGTATTGCCTTTTCTTCATTTTATAAAGTTATGAACATCTTCCCAGGTTAATAAATATACTTAAAATTATCGCTGTTTCCATAACCTTTGTAGTAAGGAAAACTCATGGTGGTGGTATTCTCCCTTTTGCTGGCACAAGTGAGAGGCTGGGAAGCCCGGACACGATGTTTGATCAGGCTTAATGCACCCAAATTATTATTATCTGTTGTTTGATCAGGCTTAATGCACCCAAATTAGTATTATCTGTCTTTGGTGGTCCTGCATCCAAATCACTGTTATCTCCCTTTGGTGGTGCCTGGTCTTTTTTTTTTTTTCCAACTAGACCAGGGTAGGACCAATTAAGAGCATTATATTTTCCATGTAGCAAATTTCCATCTTACCCAAAGATGACAGCGTTAGCTGTCTCTCTGCCTGGTGGTGGCCAGTCAGTTCCTGATCTGTGCTGAGATGACAAGGCACTTTCTGACCTGCCTCTTGGCTTCCATATCCCTGAGGGAGAAACTCCCAGCATGGTGCAGCTGACAGTGGGTGCTCTGCATATGTGCACCGAATGTTGAATGGGTTGACTACAGAAGATGTCCTTATAGCAGTCAAAAGCTTCTGCCAGCAGTGGGAAGGGGGGCATTCATTTGTGTCGTGTTAGAGAAGGTGAGATACTTGGATGATGGCAGCATCGTTTTTGTCATGATGTGGGCTCACCTTGTGATAGAAAGAATAATAAAAGAGACCCTTCAGCTCACAGCCTGCACTTTCTCTGTCCCTGCTGTTTCTTTTGGTCAGTGATGTTCCCTCCTCTCCTAATGTCTCCAGCTTGCTCACTCTTATCCAGCCACATGCCTTGCTGTTCCTCTTATACACCAGGCTTGCTCTTCCCCCAGACTTTTGTGTTCTACTGCTTCACCAGCTGCAAGTCTTTGCTCAGATGTCATTTTCTCTATGTGGCTACCTCTGTCAGAGATACAAGAACTGGTAGGATATTTGGATGTTAAGAGATTGATTGTAAGGAGGTGCTTGAGGGGACTGGGGAAGTTCAGAATTCGTGGGGCAGCTTGGCCAACTGGAAACTCTTGGGAGGAGCTGGTTGGTGCTAAAGTCCCAGATGGAATTTCTTCTCAGGGAAACCTCAGTTTTGCTCTTAAAGCCTTTCAACTGATTAGATGAGGACCACCCAGATTATGGAGTATAATCTCCCTTCCTGCAAGTCAGCTGATTGTAGATGTTAATCACATCTACAAAATACCTTCACAGAAGCACTTAGTGTTTGATTCAACAACTAGGTACCATGGCCTAGCCAAGTTGACACATGAAACTAACCATTACAGTTTAATCCTTGTCAGTTTGGCAGCCGTATACATTTCCTTAAACCATACTTAATCTCCAAATAAAGATAATAACAAAGTCATACTTCCAACTAACATGATCCAGTTATGTTGCATATTACCAAAACATACCAACCCTTTCCCCAGAAGAGGATGCAAAGTCCTCGGATGAGATCTCCACTCCTTGATATCCTGTAACTTAAACAGTGTGATGTAAGCTTAACTCTTAACATCTTATGTTAGATAATAAGGGGATAAGAGAGGGAAGAAAATAAAAGTATTTGCCTTATATATACACTATATACTATATATATATATAGTATATATATATACACACACACTCACTGTAGAATATATATATATATACAAACATTAATAACAAAATGAGAAATGCTCATTAACTCTTAATCCTCTCCTTAACCTGCTCTACGTTACGCTCCACTTAACGGCTTCCAATATACTATACAGTTTACTTATTTATTGTGTTTATTGTTCACTGGTATATCCCAAGCATTTAAAACAGTGTCCAGCACATAGTAGATGCTCATCAGTAGTAAGTGTTTTTTTTTTTCCTTAATTGATAGAATGGATAAAAGAAAGGAAATGATGTTAGTGTTTTTGTCTAACTGTCTGGCATGAGTAGTTGCTCATTGATTGGCAATATGAGGCAAACATCTGGGTCCCATCCCAGGGACTGCTAAATTTTAATTAACCTGGCTAGAGGCTTATGGATTTTATTGATCTTTTCGAAGAACCAACTTTTGGTTTGTGGATTTTCTCTAATGGTTTTCTGTTTCCAATTTCACTGATTTCTACTCTAATTTTAAATTTTCTCTTCTGTTTAGTTTGGAATGAATTTGCTCTTCTTTTTCTAGCTTTGTAAGGTGGAAGCTTAGTTTATTGATTTTTGATCGTTCTCCTTTACTAATGCATGCGTTTAATCCTACAAATTTCCCTTTAAGCACTGCTTTCACTGCATCCCACAAATTTTGATAGGTTGTGTTTTCATTTTCATTTTGTTGAAAATATTTAAAAATTTCTCTTGAGATTTATTCTTTGGTCCCAGGTGTTATATAGAAGTGTGTTGTTTTATCTCCAAGTATTTGGGGATTTTACAACTGTCTTTCTGTGATTGATTTCTGGTTTAATTCCGTTGTGATCTGAGAGCAGACACTGTATGATTTCTATACTGTTAAATATCCAATTGATTGATGGTGTTGTTGAGCTCCACAACATCCTTACTGACTTTTTGCCTGTTGGATCTGCACATTTCCATTAGGGGGTGTTGATGTCTCCAGCTATAATAGTGGATTCATCTATTCTCCTTGTAGTTCTATCAATTTTTGCCTCATGTATTTTAATGCTCTGTTGTTTGCTGCATACTCATTAAGGACTGTTATGTCTTCTTGAAAAATTGACTCCTTTATCATTACATAATGCCGTTCTTTATCCCTGATAACTTTTCTTGCTGTGAAGTCTGGTCTGTCAGGAATGAATATTGCAACTCCCACTTTCTTTTGCTTAGCATGAGTATGGTAAATCTTTCTTCATCCTTTTATTTTAATCTACATGTGTGTTTATATTTAAAGTGGGTTTCTTGTTGACAACGTATAATTGGATGTTGTTTCTTGATCCACTTTGACAATCTGTGTCTTAATTGGCCTATTTAGACCACTGACATTTAAAGTGATTATTGATATAGTTGGATTAATATTTACCATATTTGTTACTGGTTTTTATTTGTTGCCCTTGTTCTGTGTTCCTATTTTGTCTTCCACTCTTTTTCTGCCTTTTGTGGTTTTAACTGAGCATTTTATATGATTCTATATTTTCTCCTTCCTTAGCATATTATACTTTTTTTTACATTTTTTTAGTGGTTTCCCTAGAGTTTGCAGTCTACATTTACAAGTAATCCAAGTCCACTTTCAAATACAGTGGTCCCTAGGTATCCAAAGGGGGATATGTTTCAGGACCCCCCACAGGTACCAAAATCCATGGATGCCCAAGTCTTTTATATAAAATGGCATGGTGTTTGCATATAAATTATTCACATCCTCTCATATACTTTTTTTTTTTTTTTTTTTTTGGGCTGGGCCACCAGGGAAGCCCTCTCATATACTTTAAATTATCTCTAGATTGCTTATAATACCTAATACAATGTAAACACTATGTAAATAGTCCTAAATATAATGTAAATGTTATGTAAATAGTTGCTGGTGTGCAACAAATTCAAGTTTTGCTTTTTGGCACTTTCTGGAATTTTTTTCCTGAATACTTTGATCTGCACTTGGTTGAATCCACAGATGCAGAGCCCACGGATTTAGAGGGCTGACTGTAATACTGTATGTAGTGCTTCATGGGTAGTACAAGTACCTTGTAATAAAATACTCCTAATTCCTCTGTCCTGTCCATTGTGCCATTGCTGTGATTCATTTCACTTATTCATAAGCATACATAAGCGTATATATGTATACAGTATCAAATACATTGTTGCTGTTATTTTGAACAAACTGTTATCTGTTAGATCAATTAAGAATAAGAAAAATTGGGACTTCCCTGGTGGTGCAGTGGTTAAGAATCCGCCTGCCAATGCAGGGGACACGGGTTCAAGCCCTGGTCCGGGAAGACCCCACATGCCACTGAGCAACTAAGCCTGTGTGCCACAACTACTGAGCCTGAGCTCTAGAGCCCACGAGCCACAACTACTGAGCCCGTGTGCCACAACTACTGAAGGCTGTGTACCTAGAGCCTGTGCTCCACAACAAGGGAAGCCACCTCAGTGAGAAGCTTATGCACCACAACAAAGAGTAGCGCCTGCTCACCGCAACTAGAGAAAGCCCGTGCGCAGCAACAAAGACCCATTGCAGCCAAAAATTAAAAAAAATTAAAAAAAAAATAAGAAAAACAAAAGTTTTTCTTTTACCTTCCCTTATTCCTTCTCCAGTGTTCCTCTTTTTCATTAAGTAGATCCAAGTTTCTGACCTATATCATTTTCTTTCTCTCTGAAGAGCTTCTTTATAAATTTCTTGCAAGGCATTTCTCCTGGCAACAAATTCCCTCAATTTTTATCCGAGACATCTTTATTTATCCTTCACTTTTGAAAGATA